GCTATTATAGCAGACATTGAATATTTATTTATCCTTGTGCCATTTATTATTCACTTAGATTTACTTTCATTTTCATATAATAAACGTAACTGAAAAGTGAGATTATAAAATTTTGTTAATGAAAAATATTCGTAAGTTGTTCGATATTTTTATAAAATATGCAAATTACTTACGAGCCTCATACAATCATCATTCTTTCGGAATGAAAATCCGACACAAATATACATTATTTTATTTTATCTAAGTGGAATAAAGAGGCATCAAGTTTTTTTCGTAAACGAGTATTAGGAAATCATTTTGATCGAGCAATAACATTCTTTTCTTTACATAAGGGAACTGGAAACTTATTTCAGCTAATGGCATTAATACGCGTATATTTCAGTACAAAAACGACCTAATGGCTTTACAAACACTAGAATTATTGTTTTTAAAAACTAATTAGTTTTTTTTTCCTTTCTTTTTTTTTTTTTATAGCGTTACGGTCGTTATTCAATAAAATTTTTACACCATAAAATTAAGTATAATAATTGTAAAAAAACTAATTGTAATTGTATAAGCACGATCGTCGATTTACTTTTAACTGTTTAATCTTGCATAATAATGCAACACATGTCATATTACAAGTACATTCTATGTAATTAGTAGGAGTAAGTGTGTGTTTTTATTGTACTCGTAAGTTTTTGTATAGAAATATAAAATTTTATATTTAAGCGACATTTTCAATTGAAAGAATTTCGTCAAACATGTGTAATTATATTTTTCGTTTCATCTAGTTACAGTTATTATATCTAATGGTTTTATGAATAACATAGTGAAAATAGCTTGATAGCGTAAAATAAAAATCAGAATCTTGTATGGAAAAGTGAATAGTTTAATATCTTGGCAATTTATTTTTAAATGAAAGACGTAGCATACACACACACACACACACACACACACACACATGAAGAGATGTCGACAATTAACGTCTATGTACAACTGCATTTCAAGGCTCGTCCGTCTCGCTTGTTCTGTCTTTGTTTGCCAGACTCTCTCACTGTCGAGTATATTCCTTTCTTTCACTGTATTCATACATGTGTTTGCTCTTTTTCATTATTTATTGATATAGCATCGCACGCATTGTACGACATCTGTGACGAGTACTTTGTTGCGTGCGAATTGTCGGATGTTGTTTCGTTTCTTCAAGTTAATTTGTGTTTTCTTTTTTCAAGCGTGCTGAGTATATTGTTAACGAATCGCTTTGTTTTTTATTTTTTACATTCGTATTTGAATTCTATCCGGTTTTTCTAAATTATGACGTTTTATAAAGCTTAAATAGCTTTTCGTATTATTCCATAGATTATTGAATGACATTGAATCGTCGCTTTCTCTCATTTCTTCACGATCTTAATAAATATATTCTTGAAAGAAAAATTAATTGGAGGCTATGTTTTTGACAATTAAGACGTCCTGTGACCCACAAATTAATTCAAACATCACGATAATGATAAGAGGTCCGGCGGTGTCGACATGAATAAGCTCATTCATTGCCACCTACGTCTAAGCAGAATTCGCTGATATTTAGAAAGTAAAACATCGGACGTTCAGAGAACATGATTAGAGATCGGCGGGAATATAACGGCAATCCTCGAAAATTTTCCCGATACAGAATGCAACACACCTTCATACTTGCGCACAACTATAAATGGAAACTTAACGGAAGCCGAGCTGATTAAGGCAGGAATTTGAATGAAATCTCTGCATTATTTGCTTCAACTTTCATTTAATAATTGGCTTACATCGAGATACGCCAAGATTGTATTATCAAGCAAACAATGGGATTCATTAAACTACGCAGCAATTAAACGTGTGAAATACTCGAAGCCACAGTGTGTACACTGTAAAGCTGATTGTGTTTTCACAGCTTGTGCCTCGCACAATGCTATCATTTAATGTCTTAGCCGATGAATCTACGACACTGCACCTTAAAATCGCGGCATTTAGCTTCTAAACGGGAAATAAGATGGGGTTTCATCATCTCCTTCGTCTCGCAAGAAACTTCCAATCTCTTATCATCGACGATTGCCTTGGGGGCGACATTAATTATTCGAACGTTTGGCGTAAAATTAGCTATGCCGTAGCAAGGAGTGCCGCAGTTGGTAGCGATGCACTTCTTCGCAAACAATTTCCAAAAATTCCGGGGCCGTGGAGTCTAAAATCAGTACCGCTTTAATAATGCGACCGTTATGAGTAAAGTACGGCGTTTTAGCAATTAGCGCCAATATTAGCGGCCATTGCTAATAAAGAAAGATTCGAGATATCGTGTTAAGGGCTTTGAAAATCGAAGACTCGGAGGGAAATTAGCGCGCAAGCTCTGTCAGAACACGATACGCGTGCCCGGGCCCAAGATCGTCTTATCTCGTAAAGATTTCATATGGCCTCACGGCCACTCGATTTTATTTGTTTGTTTGTTTGTTTGTTTGTTTGTTTGTTTGTTGCATCGTGGATGCTTTGCTCGGCCCGGGCGAAATGAAAAGCAATTTGCTTAACTGCTTGTCCCTTTATACGGCTCGTTAGCTAAGCCGCCGAGTGTCGCCTCGTGTGCGTCGTCTATTGCGTGCATGAGAAAGAGAGAATGAAAGAAAGAAGGAAGGAAGAAGAAAAACGCGTTTGACTCACTTGGCTCGCGACCCTTTTCACAATTTTCCAATTTAACCGTTGCCGCTATTCCCGGGCGCTTTACGGATGCTCACGATTCGCAAAGGCCGTCGCGCTATTGGCGGCTGGCGTCTCTTACGCAATCGTTATGATCGACCGCTTACCATCAAATATCCCCGTATTATAAAGGTATTTAGAGCGATCGACGGAGCGGGATATTTTAACCGAGATGCGATGGTAGGGAGTAGTAGTAGTATTATTGGCCGTGGGGCGTGAAAATGTGTTTACAAGCGCGACAAAGGCCCATATTCGCTCTCATTGCGCGAGGCATTTAGAACGAAAGGAGAATAATCGCTTAGGCACTCGTCGCGCACGGCCCATAAATAAAAATTAGAAACCGCAATAAAGGTAGAGGAGGAGAGAGTGCGACTGTGCAAGATAAAGGGTTAAATAAAAGCGAGATGATAGCGGATGGTTAGGAGAAAGCGACGGTAGGGGTGGGGAGTGGGCTGTGGATTTCTCTCGATAAGAACGAGGGACGACGACGACGACGACGACGACGACGATGACGATTCGTAGCGTATCCGAGGCCTCGGGCATCCAAGGGGTTCCTCCCCGATTGTGTCCAATTTCACGGGAGCGCGCGTGTCGGAAGAATAGCCGCCCCCCGCTTTTTATTTATCGGTATCGTCATGCCCCGTAATGTGCCGCCGCGCCGGCGAAACGAGCCGTAACGTAACGACGTGGGAGGGAGAGACACACAAGACATGGCCATCTATGTTCTCTGCCTCTCGCGCGTGCGCGCCCCCCCCCCCCCCCCCCCCCTCACCATCACGCCCTCGTTCTCTCTCTCTCTCTCTCTCTCTCTCTCTCTCTCTCTCCAACTATCTTGCTGGCTACCTTTCTATCTGCCTATTTATCTAACTATCCCACGTAGCGAGTTTATTTTTGACGGCTGACCCACAATGTCGTTTTTGAGAACGAATACTCGATGGGAGAAAGTTTCTTCCGTCGTTGGTTTTCGTATACGGGGAAGTATATAGATTTGCATTTTTATATATGGTCTTATCGGTAAGAACGTGCGCACTGTAAAATTATAGCACTCTCAGTTTACGTAAGTCTTTGACTGGCGTGTCAATTGCATTATCATTCGTTTACACGCGATACATAAAGCACACGGTAATGTGCGCATGATCGTTCGAAAATTTAAATTAAAAATTACAAGTACCTGTTAAGGACACCAATGTTGGAAAATTGATATAATAGCAGCGGCATTATTCTTGTTTCTCAAACAAATGTTAAAATGTTAATGCAATTGTATCTGAAGTAGCGTTAAGTCATTGTCGTTAGCATTATATCATTTGCATAATTTTTTCAAATATTCCAATTCATTGAGACAATTGAGAGAGACTATTAATATATTTCAATGACTACATTGATTTCGATTTCTATTATATTAAAAATTCATAATTAATTTATTTATAAAAGTAATGTTCGATTCAGTTACGGATGGAGAAATGTTTTGTTTAATAATAATGTTCTTTGACTACCGTATTATTTTTCAATTTTCATCATTCTATTGTTGCTTCCTCTTCTCGTTTTTTTCTTCTACTCTCTCTCTCTCTCTCTCTCTCGTTTTGTTTTTTTTTTGTTTTTTTTTTGTTTTTTTTTGTTTTCGTTTTGTTTTTGTTTTGTTTTTGTTTTATTATTTGCCCAGAGTAGAGCGGTGAAAAATCAACAAATTTAATAGCCACATGAGGTCCATCACGAAGGTCGTATACTTATAAAATTGCATATTCATGGGTCTGTCACTCATATTTATTTCTCCGTGTCGAATCACGTGTCATCTTCGCACGCTTTTACGCACAAATTTACAAGTTTATGATAGTACGCATAAATAATACGCAAGCTACGATATTTTTTAATGAGCAAGCATATGTAAAATGAAATAAGTTTGAGGAACCGTATATTATCGTAATGAAAAACATCTAAGGAAAAAGAAAAATTCGCCTCATTATTACTGTATATTGACATCTATCCAATATGGAATACTCTATTTTCTTCGCTCTATTTTCATTTAAAATATTATTAATCAAGATAAGCGACGCATGAAATGCTCGTTATACTAAACAGCATTTAAATGTAACAGGAATTGCGGTGAATAATGTATGGCCTGGCGATTAATAATATTTATTACCCCGTTTTTGCACACATCAAAATGCGCATTTCGAAATACTATTTGACCGTTAATATTTTTATGTTGAGCGACTTGTTTCGCGCCGTATATTTCATTCTCAAGATGAAAATTGACCGAATCGAAAGATGATAAAACTGTAACGAACGACTTCCGCTTTTTGTCACAGGTATGTGACGGTCGGATGCTCGGCACTTAGGATAATATTACGAAACTTCGCTCCCGTTATCAAGTCCAACGTCGAGGCACCGCTACACACCATTGGAGTCGATGTATCTCGCGAGGAGCGGTAAGTAATTCAATCTTCTTTTATCACGTCTCCATATATTTTGTTTTTTGTTTTTTGTTTTTTTCCTTTTTATTTCGTTACGATACTTGCAGTATCCTGCCAATTCAAGTACGTGCTTTTTGTTGCCAGCCTTAATGATTATTCACATTTTATCGTGTGGGTTTAAGGTAATAAAAGCCCATTGGTGGTAAATGTCGGCTTGATCTTTCATTTTGAATGATTAATTTGAATTATAGCTTATTCGATAATTTTTATTCGACAAGCCAGCTACTTTCTGTGATTATAACAGGGGATTCATTTGGAAATAGTCCGACAATACTTTCAAATTAACATATGATTTACTTATCGTACGTTTTCCTTTAAACGGCGATTTTACAATAATTATTACAAGTTCAACTATTGCGGTTTTAAAGCAATGCCAACTTTGAATATATATAGTTATATTCGTAAAATACGAAGACGATTTATTTCTTCAATAAGTCTGTCTATCATAAGTAAACTTCTGGCAATTAATAAAGGAATTATTACGCGTTTATATGCCCACAGGTACCATAAATGCATATCTTGCTACGAGAAATTGGTACAAGTTCGAAGTGTCGTCCTGAAGAAGCAGACGATGTCGGGAAAATTGGGCGCGACCTTCCGTGAACTTGGTGGCCTTATCAGGACGATAGATTGACGCCAAACTCGTGCCTACCAGCATTATCGGAAAAATCATGGTGTCCGAGTAAGGTCCTTCGTGGTTCTGCTTCAAGGGAATCGAAGGGGGACGCTCGATCTAGCGTTTGAGGCAGCATTAAGAGTATGGAGAGAGAGCAACGCTTTTTTAAAGAGATATAAAACGCCCTTGGGCTTTATCGGCGTGGTGATTAGATTTTGGTGTCGCCTGTTTGTCGATTTGGCGCCGTTGCATTGTTGAATGCCGCTACGATTGTACACAATGATCATCATTCGTTTTATTATTATTTTTTTTTTTTTAGATTCTTTTTCTTTTTTATAAAACAGTGCAGCCATTTTGTTTCATATAAACACCACAATGACCCAAGCCGTATGTTTTTATCATTCTGATTGTTAAAATAGAGAAAATCGTGTCTATTTTTTATCGTTTTTTTTTCTTCGTTAAAATTGTCTCATTTGCCGAGTATTTAAATTATTATGATATATTTATCGATAATTCGAATAATCAAACACACGAGTATTCGTCAATATTTAATATTACGTTATTAAATATTAGAATACTAAAGCTCAGAACTAAATTGTAAAAATGTTGCAATATTTGATTATTTAAGCAATAGTATTTATCTGATAACAACAGCAACAACAACAGGAACAACAACACCACCACCACCACCACCACCATCATCATCATCATCATCATCATCATCATCATCATCAACAACAACAACAACAACAACAACAACAACAACAACAACAACAACAACAACAACAACAACAACAACAACAACAACAACAACAACAACAACAACAACAACAACAACAACAACAACAACAACAACAACAACAACAACAACAACAACAACAACAACAACAACAACAACAACAACAACAACAACAACAACAACAACAACAACAACAACAACAACAACAACAACAACAACAACAACAACAACAACAACAACAACAACAACAACAACAACAACAACAACAACAACAACAACAACAACAACAACAACAACAACAACAACAACAACAACAACAACAACAACAACAACAACAACAACAACAACAACAACAACAACAACAACAACAACAACAACAACAACAACAACAACAACAACAACAACAACAACAACAACAACAACAACAACAACAACAACAACAACAACAACAACAACAACAACAACAACAACCATCACAACAACCATCACAATAACCATCACAACAACTATAACAACAACTATAACATCAACTATAACAACAGCAACAACAACAACAACATCAACAATGATAATTATAAAATAATAATATTAAAATACCATAACCATCAGCATGTGTAGTATATACGTTAGTTTCAATTTTCTAATTCGGAAAATCGAAACGTCTGCGCCATTTTTTACAATCTATATATTGCATGATTTGTAAAGAGTCACGATACAAATATAGAAAACGTATTGCTATCCTACATTATAGCGTATATAAAACGTATAATTATTAAGAGAAAGAAGTATTTTTTCATTAAGTCAAAATCTTGAAAAATGAACAGATGAAATTTCATAAAAATGGACATGAGAATTATTCCTTGTGAAAATCAAGAATAAATTAAGAACAAAAGTAAGAATACATGTGAGCGTAATGATTGAAGAAGTATTGTAAAAATGCCTTAAACAAAAGAAAAACTATATAGTGATCTATGACTGTCTTTATTTAAGTGTTATTTATTGATTGTTCGTTAAATCGACGTCGACAAGAGCGAAAGTCGACACGTCGATATTGGTGTTATCAGCGGATTTTTTCTACGAAAAGTGTTTGTCTTTTTTCTTGAAATGAGAAAGAAAAAGATGTGTGCGTGAAGCTACCGATAGTGATAATGATGATAATGAAAGAATGATATCGTTACAATGTAGATTTGAATTTTTTAATTTTATTTTATTTTATTTTTTTTTTTTTTTATTTTATTTATTTATTTTTTTTTTTCATCATTGCGTAATATATTTCGATTCGACAGTGCCTTGCATCGAAAGAAAAAAGCAGCAGCATTAAAAGAAATTTTTCTATTATAAAAGTAGTGGAATTTCCTTTCTTTGGCAAGTCGAATCGACGAAGTTCCCAAGAATACAATCAAAATAAAAAAAAGTGAACGAAATGCATTCGCCTCGTTACCTTCGGAACATTTTAAATTAATTTTGAATAACTGGAAGCAATTTAAGAAGTCATATCTTAAACCTTCTATGTTTCTCGATTTTGTCAAGGGCGCATTCATATTTGCCATTATTGCATATAAATTGTTTTTAATCATTACGTAGCCAAAAGAAAATGTATCACATATATTATACATGAATAATGTACCATACATGAATACTATATGCTGTATAAAATAGTTGTAATGTTGAATTTTACAGGTTTTTTTTTCTGTCAATCAGTTTACTTTATCATATATATAAAAAAAAAAAAAAAAAAAAAAAAAAAAAAAAAAGAAGCAATAATAGCAATATTATCTCTGAACATAATACTGAAATAATTTCTGTAAAATTATAGATTATTCTGGTAATTATTATAGTAATTAATAATTTATTGACATATTTTTATTAAATTTAATTTATAATAAAAGAACATATGTACAGGCAATATAAATAAGTGATTTAATATTTATCACTATTTTTTAAATGATTTAGATGTAAATAAAATGTGCGTCTTTTGTGATACATTTTTAAGTGCATAGCTAACAATTGAAAGACATTCCATTTATGTAATCTTTTTATTATGAACTTTTATTCAAGAAAAAATTTTTAAAAAAAGAATATTTTTAGAAAAATACTTACCATAGTTGATTTATGTATAATACAATTAACGTTTAATTATACCACTAATATGTCGTAATAAATTCAAGGTAATTTTTAAGATCGATCAATATATTAATAATCATTTTAATGCAATGTATTCGAATTAAGTATTTGAATTAATGAAAATTAACTTTAGAATATGATGTAACTAATATAAATCTGAAATTATTTGAAAATTTTATATTGAAAAAAGTATATACATTTTTCTTATCAACATATCTTTACACTTTAAATACATTAAAAGCTTAAATATTATGATATAAGTTTATTTTCAAGTTGTTTTATTTTATTTTTTATTATTTTTTTTTTTTTTTTTTTTTTTTTTTTTTTTTTTTAATTCAGATTTATCGAAAGACTTTATAAATGGAATCGCTCTTCTACTACAAAATGGAAATATTAAAGAAACCGAAATCAATAAAATGTGTAATTTATCAATACGAACATATGGATTTATTTTCAAGAAATATAGCGTTTTGTAGATCAAATACTTTTATATTCCTCAAATTTTTGCGTTTTTCTTTAGTTTTTGTTTTTTATTTATTTATTTTTTTTTTTATTTATAGGTAACGCCAATACATTGTAACGTGCTGATAACGTGATTTTGTAAGTTTTTTTTTTTTTTTTTTTTTTTTTTTTTTTTTTTAATGGAAAAAACCTATAGATTAGATTTTATTGACGGTGTTATTGCAAAAAAATCAAAGTTTTATTCGAACTTAATCTATAATTTTAAGTAAATAGCAAGTTAGGTAGATTTTAAAGTTTTTTTTTTTTTTTTTTTTTTTTTTTTTTTTTATATTAAATACCACAAAACAGGGCCCAATAATTATTTTAATAATCATCGACTGACTTTTTGTTGCAAAACTTGTTTGTGTGTCTTTATTTTCTTTTTCTTTTCTATTTCATACAAATATAATTAGTCGACATTTATATTTTTGTGAATGTTTATGCACGGTATTTGCGATTGGACGGTAAAAGTACATTTTTTTTTTTTAAAGGCAAATAGTATATATTCTTAAGCCGAGACAAATATAACAAGATCATAAGAAAATAACAGATCGAAAAATTGTAACAAAAACAAGAATCGATTGGAAAGAGTAATATTATATAGTATTATACGGGGAATTGATGAGTTTTGCAGCAACACAAAAATGTATAAATGTGTAGTAGTATTCTTAAAATAATTTCAATTACAATAAATGAAAACTAATAAATTGAACTGAGCTAATGGAATATCTTGTATTCGCGTTTTCATTACGATATATTAATCACGAAACAAATGTATAAAGTCCAAATTTTATCTATAAGAATCGCTTCAAAATTACTCTGACTAAATCTGCTTATGTAAGTCGATACATTCATTCTCGAGGAAAATTTTTTTTCCATATCCTCAGTTCTTGCGGTCTATTTCTCTGGTATTTCATTCATCTTAAATTATTCTCATGTAAAACTAAAGTGATTACGTGTAATTATTATTCAAATATTATTCATGATATATATTTTTTCTCATTAATTAACTCAACGTTCAATCTTACACAGAAGAACTTATGATTTTATAATATAAGAACAAGGTTTATATTTATGTATTGTATTGAAAAAGAAAATGTTCAATAATTTTATAAGATATATGTTAGTGTCGTTATTTAAAAAAATTGTAAATCCATATTTATTGTTTTTTGACAATAGTAATTTTATTTGTAATATAATATTTGAACATAACTACACGTGATTTAAAGACTCGATTAAAAACAAACAAACAAAGAAAAAAAAAAAAAGAAAAAATGTATTTATTTCCAAGAACATAATTTCTGTGAAATTATCCTTCGTGAACTTGTGAGATACAGCATCCGTTCCGTCCAGTGTATTTTTGTATCAAAGCGGTTGTTGTATGAGAGAGCGACTTGTCTTGAATGTTTTGAAAAATAGAATGTACTATCATTTTCATTTTCAATGCGAAAGATGCAACGTCGTCTCGATCATTAATGAGAAAACAAAATACAAAGGAAACGTCGACTGTACTTAAAACTGTTGCCGTATAATCCTGAAACCACTTAGCTCACTTTTGCATTAACAAATTAATAATAATTACGTATTTTTAAAGAATATTTTGATCGTTGTATTATAGTAATGATAAATGGGTATTTAAAATTAGAAAATAAATGTTCGATAGATTCATTGCGTTAATTAATTCTCATATACATATACGCATATGTGCGCGCGCTTGAGTGAGTGTATGTGTATTGCGATTTTTTAATATGCAAGAGATATAAAATCATCAATGTGACGATGCTTGAAATGTAAAACGTTCTTATATCGCTTGAAATATAAACGCCATACTTATGATTTATAAAAAAACATTTTTTAAAAAAAGAAAAAAAAAAAAAAAAAAAAAAAAAAAAAAAAAAAAAAAAAAAAAAAAAAAAAACTTGAATAAAATTATTAAGAA